GTACCTTTTGTTCTTTATTTGTTGGGATTTTTAACTCGGAGGGTTAGTCATCCAGAATAACCCAATAAAATCAATGTGTCAATAAGGACTATCTGTCTTATTTCGATTGTGGTCCTCAGTTCCTCCAGGATGCCACCAACACTAGTCCTCTAACACCCAGGTACCTACTTACTGCTAGGTGAATAAGAACATTAGGTGTAAGGAAACCTGTCCAATGTTTCCATCTTCGCCGGAGATTAAACCACGGACACTCAGTGTGTGAGGCGAAAGCATTTTCAACCGAGCCACAGGACACCACTGTTATTATCTTTTATTTAAATATGTTTTAGACTCCTTTGCTGAGAAGTCAGCAGCACCTCTCACTGTGTCTGGAAAACTTTATTCAATCCAATTATATATGACACGAGAACATCTATTCCCGTCTTGCTTGGAGCGCTATTCCTTCCAAAGAGACCGGGACGCAGGGCTCAATACGGCGTGAACGGTGGTGGCCCTAAAATAAAAAAGTTGAGACTTCAACGCCGGCGTTGGTGGAGTGCAAACGTTGCAGTGTTCGCCATCCTGACTATTGGTGACAAATTTCCTTGTTCTCTTCCCGGGATCTTCATCCTCATCATACATAGTCAGCTGGCCGATTAATTTGGGCTCCATTAATCAATTCCCCCCCCCCCCACTTGTGCATTTTCATGGCCTGCACGAAGCCTGTTGTTATTTTCATTATAGTGTCCTCCCACATTTAGGCGGAATGTTGCAGTTCGGGCGATTTTCTGAAGTTTATTAGTTTATTAGTTCCGCTTCAGTGGCTAGTTAATGATGCAGTTCATCCTGTGAGCAACAGAGTAGAAAATTGGATTATAGAGATCAAAATGGAACTTTGTCAAACCCTACTGGGCATTGTTACATCACTAGAAAGAAATATTAATCATTTCATATTTTACAGTTAGTTATAATATTGTTGAAGTACACAATACAGTATGAGATACAATCTAAAAAAAATTACATCCTATCACCATTTAAAAACATTAGTCATAATTGGGTTGTGATCTCCTCTATAAAAACAGTTTATTAATCTAGTCGATGCGAAATGTGAATGCAACCTCAAAATTTCATTAATAATGAAGTGTTATGCCCTGTAAGATTATCATGGAGGTGTCTCTGAAAGGTTGGATGTTTGCATTCTATAAGATATAATGTTCCAGTGTATGGCCCTGTCTCTGTCCACACTTTGAATTTTATGTCAGTGACATCTCCATACAAACCGTACGATCAGAGATACTTATATTATTATTATTGCAATCAGAACTAAACGCAAAACCCGCGAGGGTCACACAGTGAGATACTTATAACCTAACCTTAGTATAGCTATAACAACAGTATTGACAGAGATACATATAATCTAGCCTTAATCTAGCAGTAGCAACAGTACTGCAAGAGAGAGAGATATATAACCTAGCCTTAGTCTAGGAATAGTATAGTGTTTAAAATTTGCAGAACAGGCGAAGTATTCAAACACCAATCTCTGGTCGAAGGAGACTCGAACCTACGAACCTTGGGACAAGATACGCAGTGCTCTAACTACCCAGTTAGTTTACCCGCGGAAGCTAAACTTAATAAGACTTAAGTTTTAGTTGCCCTTAACAGCAACAAGAACAACACCAGTTAGTTGATGAAGCCCTTAGCAACAACAACAACAACAACAAAGACTAAAAAAGAGTCGAGAGCCGGGCCTGAGGTTTACCGTAAAACAGTGTAGGCGTGTTTACTGAGGGAGTAAGACTTCTGACTCTCCCGGTGTTAAGGACTGAGGTCCACCTGATCTAACTTAATTTAATGTTACCATTTTTCTTTCTGGAGAGAACTTTTTCTTTTTGACAGCCGCTCAGATTTGGACAATATCTTCTCCCCAGACTCAGGGACGCATGGCTCATGAAAGCGTCAGATTTGATGGCCTTGAATAACCCCCAACAAGAAGACGGTAAACAAAAAGTTGTGAGCCACTTTAGGTCACTGAGGAAGGTCACAGGTCACCAGGCGACATAAAGTCACCTTCCAGTTATATTCTACACTCTCAGCTCCTCAGATACAGAACCTAAGTTATTAATACATCACTTCAAGTTTGTCATGATGCTTGTGGAAACTTCTAGAGTGTGTCCAGTGCTTGTTCAACTTTTTACATTATTTTTCCCCTCAGAGGCGGTTCCTTAGCGCTAGTGAGGAGCTCTTGATCCAATAAATTGGAATTGACCTCCTCTTCCTTGGATCGAACCTGATTGCTTCCCATTCCCCTGCGTATTTAGCGCTGATCCCGTGAATGTGATTATTAACAATTTATCTTACCATTTAGAACAAACACTAAAGGATGCACCTTGATGCTGGTGAAGGGCTCTTGATTCGAGGAATTTGAGCAACTTTTCCTTGAATCAAACCATAGCTCAGTAGCGCACTCACCTCACACACTGAGGTCCAGGGATCAATCCCCAATACAGGTGGAAACATTATGATGTGTTTCCTTAGGACACCTGCTCTCCATGTTCACCTAGCAGTAAAATAGGTACCTGGGTATTAGTAGACTGGTGTGGGTCGCATCCTGGGACAAAACCTAATTTGCCCGAAAAGCTCAGCATAACCATGTATAGTATGTCATTGATGTCAGCAATGGTCTTTATAAGTTGTATCTTGTACTTGTAGAAATAAAGATTATTATGTTATTATTGTTATCATTAACTCCCATTCCTAGGTGCTGCAAATTTTATTCATATTATTAACCTCGGAAGGTTAGTAACACAGGATAACACAATTATTAACCTAGGAGGGCTAGTAATCCAGGATAACCCAAGAATGCTAAACTGGCTTTTTTACATTGTGATCCTTAGGTCCTCTTCCCCAGGATGCCACCCACAACAGTCAACTAGCTGCCAGGTACCTACTTGCTGCTTGGTAAAGAGGGGAGATAAATATAAAGACACTTGCTCATTGTCAACCTGTACAGTGATCAAATCTATGTCCTTCAGTTGTGAGCTGAAAGTGCTACCACTTGAGCCACAAATATAGCATTTCTACACAAATCTGGTGATACAGCAGTAATTGTATTTCTTGAACATGAAGATAAGTATTATATATATATGTGGGTAAATGAGATAAATTCAAAGTGGATCAGGATTGAAATAAAGCAAAATAGGAATACAGTGCCTCATATCACAGTGGTAACTCGTTCATATCACAACCAGAATAATCTAGGTTGATGCCTGTAGTGCCCAAAGCCCACAGACTTTAAATTACTCATGTCGGCAAGTTATATGGGTGGGAAGTTTGGTAACCTGTTAAAATATAGTCAAGTGTTATCTAATAACATGATTTGGGTTTATGTTGTTAATTAAGTTTAGTGCTTGCTGATAATTTTATTAAACTTATATATAGGTGATGTCTTCACCAGTAGGAAAATATTGAAGTTTTATCCTGACTTACCAACAACTTAAAAAGTTCACTGAGATTTCTTACCTTGAACCTTGGACATAGCAGGAAGTAAGATAAGATTTGTTTGGATTTTTAACCCAGAAGGTTAGCCACCTAGGATAACCCAAATCAGTGCATCAGCAAAGACTGTCTTATTTCCATTAGGGTCCTTCATTCTTGGCCCCCAAGATGTAACCCACACCAGTCAACTAAAACCCAGGTACCTACTTATTGCTAGGTGAACAGGGACAGAAGGTGTAAGGAAACATGCCTTGCATTTCCATCCATGTCAGGGAATGAACCACAGACACTCAGTGAGATGAGTGTGTTGCCTTCCTAGCTTCTGCTCTCCCTGTTACCTAGTGGTAAAAGGAACCCAAGAAGTTAGTTAACTGTTGCTGGTAACATCAAGAAAAAGGACCTAAAATCAGACCGCAGTGTTTGTCTTTCTTGAGTTTTCCTGGATTATTAACCCTCTATCAGAGTAAACTCTTCTGCTGAGGATGCTAATGGCAATATTGTGCATATGTCATACCATTCGAGTTTGTTATATAATGGTATGATCCATATAGGTTTAGCACTTGTTGTGACTATAACAGTTATATGTACTACAACCATTGTTTGAAGCTGATGAGTCTTGATCTGAGGAATTAGACCTTCACTTCCCTTCCTTTGGTTCAACTTCATTTCCTCCTATTCTCCAGGCATTGTGTGTCCTCTATGGGTTTGGCACTTCCCCATGATTATATGAATAATAATAAAAAATTGTGATTGAATGAATTATGGTGAATGTGTTTTCTGCTCTGGATCACCATACCTTGCAAGACACCCATTGAATTAAGAAAAATAATAATACCAGTAATAATAAAACCAATAATAATAATACAGTAATATTATTATTATTATTATTATTATTATTATTATTATTATTATTATTATTATTATTATTATTATTATATTGTGTATCTCTATAAACTTAAGTATGTGGTAATTATAGGAAATCTAAAAGAAAATTTTGCTATTTGTTCTAGTTATATGTACAGTGGAATCTCACCTTACAAGTGCCCCAACATATGAGTTTTTCCAGATACGAGACGTCGCTCGGTCGATTTTTTGCTCTGAGTTATGAGCCAAAATCTGAGTTACGAGCAAGCTTTCCCCTCAAGGGAGGTTCCTTGACACTGGTGAGGGGCTCTTGATCTAGGGAATTGGATCTGTGCTCCAGTTCCCTAAATTAAGCCTGAATACCTTCCATCCCTTTCCCCCCACAGGTGCTGTATAATCCTACAGGTTTAGCGCTTCCCCATTAATAATAATAATAATAATAATGAACAAGCTTCAGAACGCCGCCACTAGTTGGTGCAGCGAACGCTACAACATCCGCTGAGTAGTGCACGTTTACTTCGCCGTGGAAGCATTCCTCTTATGTTTTGCTTGCGTTTTGTGCAGTTATTTTGCCAAATTTCTTTTTTCTAATCATGGATCCTAAGAAAGTAAGTGCAAAGGACAGTGCTGAGAAGAAAAAGAGGATGATGTCCATGGAATTAAAGCATGAAATCACAGATAAACACAAGTGAGGTGTGCAGGTTGTAGACTTGGCCAGGCAGTACCAGCATAGTATTTCTACGATATGTATGATACTAAAGCAGAAGTGCAGCATTAAGAGAGTAGCAAGTAAATCAGTGAAAAGTGAAGTGAAAAAAAAATTGTAGCAGTTAAGTTCAGTGATAAAGTGGAGCAAATAAGTTAAGCGATTAAGTGATAGAAAAAGGATGAAACACAACAAACTCCTCTAATGTTGTTGGTGGTGGTGAGGTTTATAGGACCACTGACATCATACACTGCTCTCCTTATCTTTTCCACCCTCAACCTTCACTAGCATAGCATCTGTTCTCCAAGGTAAATACGTACACTTTATAAAACCAGTTGATTTCTTTACATTCTCTATTATATTTTATGTGTTTTCCTTGTGAAACTAGTGATCTAGTGCAGTTAGCCTCACAAACACTCCATTTTCTCTTATAATAAGACCTCAGAAGGGAAAGCATGAGAAGATATGGTCAGAGCGATAATTATTTTTACCTTGGGAGAGGCTGCCAACACTCATCACTTAATGACATATTTTACTCATTCTAGAGTATATATCATGTTTCTATGTTATTTATATTGTTTATTATGTCATATTGGATCAATTTTGATAGATAAATAAACCGTAGAGTTGATATTAATGTTGTATTGAAGTATTTTGCCCTTCCTCCTGAGAGCAGGAATTCCACTGGAACAGATTAATTTCATTTCAGTTAATTTAAATGAGGAAAATTTATTTGATGTAAGAGCAAATTGAGTTATGAGCATGGATTAAACTCATAAGTCGAGGTTCCACTGTATGTACTTCTTTTTAAAGTAACCTGAAGAAGAGACAGAAATACAGGGAACAGAATTGCTAATTTTAAATGTATTTAGTTTAATTAGCTGCTAAATTTTGATATACAGTACTATAATTAAAAATGATTAAGAGAAGACTAATAATAATGAGTTTGTTTCCAGACTGAAGATAATGATTGGACGGATGTTAAGAGATGCTTCTAGTACCCATGGGCCATATGTTGGGGCCCAAAGTAATTCCTTCTGCCAACATACAGACATGGAGCCCATCATGTGTGGCTGTGGAGAAGAGGAAAAGGGTAAAAATGATTGTTTTTTCTTAATCTATTTCCTTTTAAGGTCGAATTTTCCTGCTGTGAGAGGAGATATGCATTGTGCCGTGACAGCCTAACTGGGAGCTGTACTGGAACTTTACCAGCCTATCACTCCTAGGCCTTGGCATGGGAATAGTAGCTAGTGCTGTCACCACAGCCATAGGTAGAGGATGATGCAAGTCTCACTGCACCTGAATCAGTGTCATAGCACTGAATCTCAGTACAGTATATTGTAAAAGAAGACTGTAGTACAATAACTGCCACAGGTTTGATGTCTAAATGCATTTGTGTAGTCATGATATCCTGTTTTTGGAGGTACAATACAGTTCTACAGAATTTATCATATATAATACACTTTCAAGTATTGTGCTTTAATTAATTTTAAATTTTATATTTAATATGAGAACAGAAGCTTGGGGGGGGGGAGAGTCTGTGATGCCACATTTGCCTTGTACAAGTACTGTGTTGAAATATTGCATAAATTTATATGCAAGGGATAATAATAATAATGAAAATTATGATGTGAAACACATTTTTCCATGGTCTTACTACTGTAAATTGGAAAGACATTAGGTTCTAGACAGTTTCCTTTTTCTTTTAAGTAATTGATAAAAGTGAGTGGGTTACTAGCACCTTGCTCCTGGAGCAGGCACATAGTGGAAAACAAAACAAACTTGGATGCACCCAGTGACATGTATCATGAAGAATTGCAGCAAGTAAATTGCATATTCCTATATGTATTGTACATAGTAAAACATTCATAATCACTGGGGTTCCATTAGTGGAAACCCTGCAACAATGGAAAGCTCCTCAAAGGTATGGCCCAAGGTTGTAGCCAGGTCATCACATACTGTACCTCCATCTGGGATGTCGAAGGATTGTTCCTCCTGCAATATACATACTTCTCAAAAGTACGGTACTCTTGAACACACAAGCCAGGAGTATATTTTGTTTCTAATTAAACCATGTTTACAAACTGATATTACTGTATCTTTAATAATTAAGGTGAATGTGATACTGGAGGCATTAAAAATTGCATATGACTTATAGTTATTTATAGAGGTTAATTTATACCTTTTGTAATCCTTTTTTTAATGTACTTTTCTCACACAGACTTATATGGCAAGAAGCAACATACATTTATAAGATTTACATATTAACAATTAAGTTATCATAAATTTGAGAGAATGGTTTACTAAAAACTTTTGGATGATGCATAGCATAAGATCAACTCACACACCTTCACAGTGTACTGCAATATTGTAATATCTGTATAACAATGTATGTACTGTAATATATACATCTCTATCTTATGGTGTATACATTATATTACTAGTAAAAAATAGTGAAAATTGACTACAGCTAATTTGTTTAGACTTTGCATGGGTGTGGAGCACACGTGAAGAGGGCGGTCAGGCTGGCAGTATTCTCCTTGCCTCAGGAGATCGACAAATCATCTTCAACCCCGAGTACAGTTCAGGTACAGCAGCAATTCGTGGAAATGAAACTCTTCCTTCTGGTTACCATCACTACTGGGAGCTCAAAATGACCTCTGCTGTTTATGGGACAGATATTGTAAGTTGAATAATATTCAAGTGTGTTTGAGTATAGTACTACTTTATTTTGCTTATCAATGTAGCAGATGCTAGTGATATATACATTGCTCTTCTTAATTTTGTACTGTATCAGGTTAACTTTATGAACCATCTGCCAGGAGTGCATCTGTTGCATAGAGCAAGAGACACTTGTACTGTGCTTCATAACTACTCATCTCATGTTGCCCAAATCACATTTGTGGCAACACTTGGTTAGATTTGGGATTCATGGTAAAGGTTAACTTTTATTGATTACAGATTTCAATACTTATGTGCCATCATGATGCAGGCGTACAAGTGTGGAAAGCCTTCCTGGCTACCCCTGGTTGGAACCCGCATTATGCCTTGTTTACATAATTTGTTATGTTCATGAATGCCCTTTTCTTGAGGTTAGCTAACTTGGTTCATAACCCATATGCTACTGTATTGTATACACAATCACATTATTCAGTATATATTTTTATAACACATCAGCTGTGTCCCACTGATATAGGGTGACCCCCAAAAAGAGTAAACATGTTTACTGTCATTCACTGTCTTGTCAGAAACATGCTGACATCACAGTTCAAATGGTCTTCTCCTCACCCCTCCTTTAGAGTGCGGGCACTGTACTTCCCACCTCCAGAACCCCAGTTTGTCTAACCAGTTTCTCTGAATCCTTTAATAAATGTTGCCTTATTCATACTCCAGCAGCATGTAAAGACATAAGAACCACTTGCCTCCCACTTCTATCTAACCCACTCACACTAGTCTGCTGGATGTTCAAGCCCCTCACACTCAAAACCTTTAATCCCCCTTCCTACAGCCCATCCTGGAATCACCCATTACTCCTCCACCCCAGATTTATATACCATCCTATTTTGCACCATCCTCTTTAAATGCTCAAACCACCTCAGTAACCCTCTGAATTATACTTTTGGTAACCCACATCTTTTAATCTTTACACTTTAAATTCTCAGCATGATATTTACACCACACATTGCCCTGAAACATGACATCTCCACTGCTTCAAGCCTCCTCCTTGCTGAAATATTTAAAAGACATGCTTCACACACTGGTATATTCTTCTCTTTGCTTCCATGAATAGAGTTCTTTGTCTCCACAGATGCCTTAACACATCACCCACCTTTTTTTCCTCCTCATCTGTTCTATGGATTAATCACATCTTTTATAGACTCCTCCACTGAAGTATTGCCCCCCAATATTAACAAGTTGTAATTCAGTAAATCCTATTATAAATGGGGCAGTAATATGTAGTTATTGCATTTCTTTTATTAACAAGGCTGCAGTTATGAGTACTATTGCAGATGGTGGGAGTTTGTACTCCAAAATGTGACCTGAAGCATGGCATCCACCGTTTCTGTTCTCTGCTTGGACGTGATGAAGAATCGTGGGGATATTCTTATACAGGTAAATGAATTTCAATGAACAGTAGTTTTACCTACTGTATTTGTCACGGAGATTTGGTTTCACCAACACCCACCACTTTATGGTGCAAGCAGCTTCATATCTCCTACACTATAGTGAGTGAAATATACACTAATCATGCAGTGAAACTATTGAAATAAGCCACATTTCAAAGTAAGAGGCATTTGCAAAAATTTTCAATCTTGCAAGAGAGAGCCTCTTCAGACCTCTGGAGAGGGTCTGTAACTACATTAGAAATATTTGCAATATCTTGCTCCTCCTCCTCCTGATCCTCTCTCTCACTTCTCCTCTCCCCTCATGCTCCTCCTACCCCTCCTCTTGTCCCATTTCCTTAACTTGATAATAAGACTTTGTTATGGTTGCAGGGACCATACGACATGCAGCCAAGTTTCGTCAGTATGGCCCCAGGTGGGGCAAGGGCAGTATTGTTGGCATCCACCTGGACTCCTGGCGTGGCACCTTGGAGTTCTTCTTGAACAGGAAACCCCTTGGTAAGTAGCAACCTTTCCATTATTCAATGTACTCCAAAAAGTTAAATAACTCGTTTGTATAAATATAAACACTGCATAAGGATGAGTCATTTTGTTGTCATTTTTCTTGAAATGAGCATTATCGCATTGATTGAAACATTCATTGAATGACTGTATAAGCCTCTATACCCTCTCACAGCAGGACTCCAAGCAAAAGAGGAAGAGGTGACAGATGAGGATCATGAGATCAACCAAGATAATAAAAGCAAATAGGTGTAACAAACATGTCCCATGTCTTACACAAGCCTTCACCCCCATCCTTTGACTGAATTTTGTTGCCTCCCACATTCCTAGTTGCTGTATGACCCTTACTTGTTTAGAGCTTCCCTCCATGAGTGTAATAATAATAATAAGATGGAGAATAGGATAGCAGATGAACAAGGAGGCTTTAGGAAAGGTAGGGGGTGTGTGGACCAGGTGTTTACAGTGAAACATATAAGTGAACAGTATTTAGATAAGGTTAAAGAGGTCTTTGTGGCATTTATGGATTTGGAAAAGGCGTATGACAGGGTGGATAGGGGGGCAATTTGGCAGATGTTGCAGGTGTATGGTGTAGGAGGTAGGTTACTGTAAGCAGTGAAGAGTTTTTACGAGGATAGTGAGTCTCAAGTTAGAGTATGTAGGAAAGAGGGAAATTATTTCCCAGTAAAAGTAGGCCTTAGACAAGGATGTGTGATGTCACCATGGTTGTTTAATATATTTATAGATAGGGTTGTAAGAGAAGTAAATGCGAGGGTCTTGACAAGAGGTGTGGAGTTAAAAGATAAAGAATCACACATAAAGTGGGAGTTGTCACAGTTGCTCTTTGCTGATGACACTGTGCTCTTGGGAGATTCTGAAGAGAAGTTGCAGAGATTGGTGGATGAATTTGGTAGGGTGTGCAAAAGAAGAAAATTAAAAGTGAATACAGGAAAGAGTAAGGTTATGAGGATAACAAAACGATGAAAGATTGGATATCAGATTGGAGGGAGAGAGTATGGAGGAGGTGAATGTATTTTTTTTTTTTATTATCACATTGGCCGATTCCCACCAAGGCAGGGTGGCCCGAAAAAGAAAAACTTTCACCATCATTCACTCCATCACTGTCTTGCCAGAAGGGTGCTTTACACTACAGTTTTTAAACTGCAACATTAACACCCCTCCTTCAGAGTGCAGGCACTGTACTTCCCATCTCCAGGACTCAAGTCCGGCCTGCCGGTTTCCCTGAACCCCTTCATAAATGTTACTTTGCTCACTCTCCAACAGCACGTCAAGTATTAAAAACCATTTGTCTCCATTCACTCCCATCAAACACGCTCATGCATGCCTGCTGGAAGTCCAAGCCCCTCGCACACAAAACCTCCTTTACCCCCTCCCTCCAACCTTTCCTAGGCCGACCCCTACCCCGCCTTCCTTCCACTACAGACTGATACACTCTTGAAGTCACTCTGTTTCATTCCATTCTCTCTACATGTCCGAACCACCTCAACAACCCTTCCTCAGCCCTCTGGACAACAGTTTTGGTAATTCCGCACCTCCTCCTAACTTCCAAACTACGAATTCTCTGCATTATATTCACACCACACATTGCCCTCAGACATGACATCTCCACTGCCTCCAGCCTTCTCCTCGCTGCAACATTCATCACCCATGCTTAACACCCATATAAGAGTGTTGGTAAAACTATACTCTCATACATTCCCCTCTTGCCTCCAAGGACAAAGTTTCTTTGTCTCCACAGACTCCTAAGTGCACCACTCACCCTTTTTCCCTCATCAATTCTATGATTCACCTCATCTTTCATAGACCCATCCGCTGACACGTCCACTCCCAAATATCTGAATACATTCACCTCCTCCATACTCTCTCCCTCCAATCTGATATCCAATCTTTCATCACCTAATCTTTTTGTTATCCTCATAACCTTACTCTTTCCTGTATTCACTTTTAATTTTCTTCTTTTGCACACCCTACCAAATTCATCCACCAATCTCTGCAACTTCTCTTCAGAATCTCCCAAGAGCACGGTGTCATCAGCAAAGAGCAACTGTGACAACTCCCACTTTATGTGTGATTCTTTATCTTTAAACTCCACGCCTCTTGCCAAGACCCTCGCATTTACTTCTCTTACAACCCCATCTATAAATATATTAAACAACCACGGTGACATCACACATCCTTGTCTAAGGCCTACTTTTACTGGGAAATAATTTCCCTCTTTCCTACATTCTCTAACTTGAGCCTCACTATCCTCGTAAAAACTCTTCACTGCTTTCAGTAACCTACCTCCTACACCATACACCTGCAACATCTGCCACATTGCCCCCCTATCCACCCTGTCATATGCCTTTTCCAAATCCATAAATGCCACAAAGACCTCTTTAGCCTTATCTAAATACTGTTCACTTATATGTTTCACTGTAAACACCTGGTCCACACACCCCCTACCTTTCCTAAAGCCTCCTTGTTCATCTGTTTATCCTATTCTCCGTCTTACTCTTAATTCTTTCAATAATAACTCTACCATACACTTTACCAGGTATACTCAACAGACTTATCCCCCCTATAATTTTTGCACTCTCTTTTGTCCCCTTTGCCTTTATACAAAGGAACTATGCATGCTCTCTGCCAATCCCTAGGTACCTTACCCTCTTCCATACATTTATTAAATAATTGCACCAACCACTCCAAAACTATATCCCCACCTGCTTTTAACATTTCTATCTTTATCCCATCAATCCCGGCTGCCTTACCCCCTTTCATTTTACCTACTGCCTCACGAACTTCCCCCACACTCACAACTGGCTCTTCCTCACTCCTACAAGATGTTATTCCTCCTTGCCCTATACACGAAATCACAAATTCGCTATCTTCATCAACATTTAACAATTCCTCAAAATATTCCCTCCATCTTCCCAATACAGTGGACCCCTGCATAACGATCACCTCCGAATGCGACCAATTATGTAAGTGTATTTATGTAAGTGTGTTTGTACGTGTATGTTTGGGGGTCTGAAATGGACTAATCTACTTCACAATATTCCTTATGGGAACAAATTCGGTCAGTACTGGCACCTGAACATACTTCTGGAGTGAAAAAATATCGTAAACCGGGGGTCCACTGTACCTCTAACTCTCCATTTAATAACTCTCCTCTCCTATTTTTAACTGACAAATCCATTTGTTCTCTAGGCTTCCTTAACTTGTTAATCTCACTCCAAAACTTTTTCTTATTTTCAACAAAATTTGTTGATAACATCTCACCCACTCTCTCATTTGCTCTCTTTTTACATTGCTTCACCACTCTCTTAACGTCTCTCTTTTTCTCCATATACTCTTCCCTCCTTGCATCACTTCTGCTTTGTAAAAACTTCTCATATGCTAACTTTTTCTCCCTTACTACTCTCTTTACATCATCATTCCACCAATCGCTCCTCTTCCCTCCCGCACCCACTTTCCTGTAACCACAAACTTCTGCTGAACACTCTAACACTACATTTTTAAACCTACCCCATACCTCTTCGACCCCATTGCCTATGCTCTCATTAGCTCATCTATCCTCCAATAGCTGTTTATATCTTACCCAAACTGTCTCCTCTTTTAGTTTATAAACCTTCACCTCTCTCTTCCCTGATGCTTCTATTCTCCTTGTATCCCATCTACCTTTTACTCTCAGTGTAGCTACAACTAGAAAGTGACCTGATATATCTGTGGCCCCTCTATAAACATGTACATCCTGAAGTCTACTCAACAGTCTTTTATCTACCAATACATAATCTAACAAACTACTGTCATTTCGCCCTACATCATATCTTGTATACTTATTTATCCTCTTTTTCTTAAAATATGTATTACCTATAACTAAACCCCTTTCTATACAAAGTTCAATCAAAGGGCTCCCATTATCATTTATGCCTGGCACCCCAAACTTACCTACCACACCCTCTCTAAAAGTTCCTCCTACTTTAGCATTCAGGTCCCCTACCACAATTACTCTCTCACTTGGTTCAAAGGCTCCTATACATTCACTTAACATCTCCCAAAATCTCTCTCTCTACTCTACATTCCTCTCTTCTCCAGGTGCATACACGCTTATTATGACCCACTTTTCGCATCCAACCTTTACTTTAATCCACATAATTCTTGAATTTACACATTCATATTCTCTTTTCTCCTTCCATAACTGATCCTTCAACATTACTGCTACCCCTTCCTTTGCTCTAACTCTTTCAGATACTCAAGATTTAATCCCATTTATTTCCCCCCACCGAAACTCCCCTACCCCCTTCAGCTTTATTTCGCTTAGGGCCAGGACATCCAACTTCTTTTCATTCAAAACGTCAGCAATCATCTGTTTCTTGTCATCTGCACTACATCCACGCACATTCAAGCATCCCAGTTTTATAAAGTTTTTCTTCTTCTCTTTTTTAGTAAATGTCTACAGGAGAAGGGGTTACTAGCCCATTGCTCCCGGCATTTTAGTCGCCTCATACGACACGCATGACTTACGGAGGAAAGATTCTTTTAAACTTCCCCATGGACAATAGAAGAAATAAAGAAGAACAAGAGCTATTTAGAAAAGGGAGAAAAATCTAGATGTATGTATATATATATGCATGTGCGTGTCTGTGAAGTGTGACAAAAGTGTAAGTAGGAGTAGCAAGATATCCCTGTTATCTAGCGTGTTTATGAGACAGAAAAAGAAACCAGCAATCCTACCATCATGCAAAACAGTTACAGGTTTCTGTTTCACAGTCATCTGGCAGGACGGTAGTACTTCCCTGGGTGGTTGCTGTCTACCAACCTACTGAATGTATTCAGATATTTGAGAGTGGACGTGTCAGCGGATGGGTCTATGAAAGATGAGGTGAATCATAGAATTGATGAGGGGAAAAGGGTGAGTGGTGCACTTAGGAGTCTGTGGAGACAAAGAACTTTGTCCTTGGAGGCAAAGAGGGGAATGTATGAGAGTATAGTTTTACCAACGCTCTTATATGGGTGTGAAGCATGGGTGATGAATGTTGCAGCGAGGAGAAGGCTGGAGGCAGTGGAGATGTCATGTCTGAGGGCAATGTGTGGTGTGAATATAATGCAGAGAATTCGTAGTTTGGAAGTTAGGAGGAGGTGTGGGATTACCAAAACTGTTGTTCAGAGGGCTGAGGAAGGGTTGTTGAGGTGGTTCGGACATGTAGAGAGAATGGAGCGAAACAGAGTGACTTCAAGAGTGTATGAGTTTGTAGTGGAAGGAAGGCGGGGTAGGGGTCGGCCTAGGGAAGGTTGGAGGGAGGGGGGTAAAGGAGGTTTTGTGTGCGAGGGGCTTGGACTTCCAGCAGGCATGCGTGAGCGTGTTTGATGGGAGTGAATGGAGACAAATGGTTTTTAATACTTGACGTGCTGTTGGAGTGTGAGCAAAGTAACATTTATGAAGGGGTTCAGGGAAACCGGCAGGCCGGACTTGAGTCCTGGAGATGGGAAGTACAGTGCCTGCACTCTGAAGGAGGGGTGTTAATGTTGCAGTTTAAAAACTGTAGTGTAAATCACCCTTCTGGCAAGACAGTGATGGAGTGAATGATGGTGAAAGTTTTTCTTTTACGGGCCACCCTGCCTTGGTGGGAATCGGCCAGTGTGATAATAATAATAAAAAATAATAATAATATTTTCAAGGGGCTAGTAACCCCTTCTCCCATATAAATTACTAAATTTAAAAAGAGAAACTTTAGTTTTTCTTTTTGGACCACCCTGCCTCGGTGGGATACAGCCAGTTTGTTGAAAAAAAAAAATATTTTACAGAAGAAAATGCTTAGAAGTGGTCGTAATCCAGAGTTCGAACATCATGGAACAGATCCTTTGGGTAATTAATATTCCCTCTCCACTAATGAAACATAACCTGGGTGTAGCAAGGCCACTCGCCAGTGTGACACAACCAAGCATATCCCTTCCATTATCTCTCTTGATGCTACCATGCTCACTGACTGCTTCTCTCTCCTATCCCTATCCTGTGTAACATAATGTATTAACTTGTATTTTGGTCTTTCTTTCAACAGACTAAATAATGCTCATCTTGAGTGAAAAGTCATCCACTAGAAGGTTCTTCCTTGTATAATAGTCCTATTCTCATCTTTATTGGCAGATGTTGCTCTTCATCATCTTATTAATATTTTGTAATATGAGTAGAAATGGACATCAGTGTTAATGATTAGTTATGATATTTTACAGAGTGCATTTATTATAATGTAAATTTTGGGATAAAACTTCATGAAAGTGATGTTCCTCTGTATAATATGTCAGCTAAAGCTGAGCATAATTTTAATATGCTAGTTTAATGGTATTATCTGGAATGGTCAGTGTATATTTATAATGATCCTTTACTTGATTTTTTGACATAGTGATGGATACAGTACAGGTATATACAGTGACAGGCAGTGCTGTATGGGAAATTTGGCTACTTCTTTATATGACCGAAGTAATATAACATTGTTTGCGTTTGAGGGAATATCATTCAATTGGAGGATGTAATTTATAAGTAAGGAATGTTTGTGACATGTAGAAACTTCTCTTTTTGAACTTAGTGCAATTTATTATCTTTTTACAAAACCTTAATTTATAAGCCTGACTTTCCAACTCCCTTGAATTGTGGCACTAATATCTATATTTATTACCATCTTCATATAGCTCTTGATCAATGACTATCCTCTCATTCAAAAATATTACTGGTGATATAATGATATGTCTTCCTCTGTAAAGAGATGGTTCCCACTTACAAATTGTCTTTTTTTTTTTTTTTTAACAAGCCAGCTGTATCCCACCGAGGCAGGGTGACCTAAAAAGAAAAAGAAAAGTTTTTCTTTTTAAATTTAGTAATTTATACAGGAGAAGGGGTTACTAGCCCCTTGCTCCCAGCATAACCTGTCTTTTTTCTCAAATTATTTTCAACAGCAGGTAGTGGTACAGTCAGTTTAGGTAGGAACATCTCCATAATAACTCAAGTCTAGTTTTTATGCATATACAGTATTAGTAAATTATAAAATCAAGATCATTAAAATGATTCCCCTTTGGAATAATTGAGATGTACTCTAATACACTTTCCATTTTGCAGGTATAGCCTTCAGTGGACTACAGAATATAGAATTATACCCTATTGTTACATCAACATCAGCTCATTCAGGCATGAAGTTGGTTACCAGCTGCACATTTTCAGCTAATCTTCAGTTTCTGGCCTCTGAAGTCGTGTTTAAGCACATGCGTGAGAAGATGAGAGTGGATCCTGAAAATCTGCCACTGCCACCTGGCCTTCGCTCCTTTGTTGCGAACAACTATTGGCCTCTTTTACGGTCTGTCGGTCTTGAAAATGAAGATAACAAGAATGAAGAGCCAAAATGGTCCAAGAGTAGCACAAAACATCCCTATGAAGATGCACAACAAGAGGACCGACTGTACAAGAGGTTTTGCAGTCGACCACTTCATCACAGATCCCACTCAGCTTCTTCCACTGATACTTATTCTGATGGCAGTTCCTCGCCTAGTTTGCATTCTTACATGACTGATTTCTCACCAGAATTCTGCATTACTCTTTCACAACCACCACCTGCTTTGTCATCCATGGAGAACTGCTCAGGGGTTGCACCGTCTGTGGAACCTTCGGTGTCAGGCACAGATGTGTGCTCCCTCACACTAACACCCGACACTTCTGAGAGCTGTAGACATCCACCCTCTACCTCAGACTCATAGTTTAATTTTTATCAAATTTATATAGAGTTTTCATGTTTTAGTATGATGGAAGAAAGCAGCATCGAGGGAGGTGTACAGTATTACTGTCTTGTCATATGAGTATGAAGTGGAAGTCTGTTAAACTTTTTTGCACTTTGGCAGGATTGCTAGGCTTTTCTTTCTGTCTCTTAAACATCTAGCATGATAAATAAGTCATATAGACTTACTTTCAGTATGCATTTTATTTTATTTCCTAATTGTTTGCATTCCTGTAGTTTTTCTTTTCCAAATTATTTTTGAAGACCAGGTTGTGGAGTTGATAATCAATGAAATATTTAACACATACAAGATGTATAAAAGATATATTTACAAATATATATTTCTTCTTTCAACAAACCATCCATATCCGGCCATATATTTTTGTTATTGATAAAAAAGTCAAAGACTGAAAATGAAAACTGAACACTGTTTTGGTTCTTGCTGGACCATTATCATATTACAAACTGATTATGGTTCAACACAGATTGAAATTTCGTCCAGGTTTTATTTTCAATATTTTTGCTTGTGATGATGATGATGATGAATGTGATAATTTTATTTCTAAAGAAGATAGATTATAGTTATGATAGTAGGTTAATAGTGTATATTTCTTACAAGAAAAAGCCCATAGTTATGCCTAGCATTTCAGGAAGTCTTGAGCTACGACTAAAAATAAAAATATAAACTATATTTAACAGATGTACCGTCCTGCCAAGTGAGTGTAAAACGAAAGCCTGTAATTGTATTACATGATGGTAGGATTGCTGGTGTCCTTTTTTCTGTTTCATAAACATGCAAGATTTCAGGTACGTCTTGCTACTTCTACTTACACTTACGTTACACTGCACATACATGTACAAGCATGTATATATATATACCCCTCTGGGTTTTCTTCTATTTTCTTTCTAGTTCTTGTTCTTGTCTATTTCCTCTTATCTCCATGGGGAAGTGGAACAGAATTCTTCCTCCGTAAGCCATTTGTGTCGTAAGAGACGACTAAAATGCCGGGAGCAAGGGGCTAGTAACCCCTTCTCCTGTATATATTACTAAATTTAAAAGGTGAAACTTTCTTTTTTCCTTTTGGGCCACCCCGCCTCAGTGGGATACGGCTGGTGTGTTGAAAGAAAGAATTTAACAGATGTGTATCAGTGTAGTACACACTAAATATATATAATATTACATAATATTGTAATGCAAAATTTTGTGAAAGACATTAAATTTTAATGGTAAATTGAAATTTAACTGCAAGAGCATTAAAAATATAAATAAGGAGACAATAATATAAAAATGCTCAGAGATATGATTACATCTTAAAAAAAATTGGCAGTTTAAGAAGCAGAATTAAAAAATTCAGGGGATGATAAACATACAGATCTTTCTGGGTTTTTCTTTGAATTAACTGCTACAGTTTTTTAATTCATCTAGATATTTATTTCACATTTTTAGTCCTTTCATTTGCATTAAGTTTCCAGAGCAGTTCAGGTGAACACAAGGAATTTTGAAGTGGTCTTTATTTCATTTGTGATGCCTGTGTGTTGTTTTAGTTTTCCTGGAAGTGTCTTCAGTTAACATCAGCATTATTATTATGTGGTGTTTTAAAGATGTTCAGTGAACAATAGTATGTCAGCGAACAATAGTATGTATGCATCTCACTAATATTATGTTGCTTTAGGGATTTGCATAAGGGCAAAGTGCATTACCCAAAATTTTGAGTTTGTGATGGTTCTGGTAGCTGCCTTTTGTTGTGTGATAATTGGTTTGAGGTGGAGGTAGAGCCCTTGGCACAAATTACATAGATGAGGCATGGGTAAATGAGAAGTTAGTAGATTGTTAGTAGTGTAGATTGGGGAATATAATAGCAAATTTAGGCTATCTCCCACTAAGGTAAGGTGACCTCCCCCTTCAAAACAAAAAATAACATTTACCATCATTTTGTCAGTAACTGTCTTACCAGAAGTGTACAAACATCACAATTCAAATAACCCTCTGAGCTACAATATCCCCACCATTCCTTCAGAGTACACACACACTACTTCCCTCCAGGACTCAGATGTAACTAACTAGTTTTCCTGAATCCCTTCATAAATGTTCCCTGGCTTACATTAATGTTTAATTTATTATCTGTTAGCAGGCCTAGAAACTTATTTTCATCCTGTTTCTCTACTTTGGATTCATAAATTTTGAGGTCTAATTATGGATGAGGTTTATTGCCTAAAGTTATGTTTTTTCTGTAATGAGGGTGAGTTTATTTATCATTCAAGTGTAGATCCTTTTTTAGTTCATAATTAACCCAAGTGTTAAGGTCCAGGGATACAAGCATGACAACATGTAGTTTGTATCATCAACATGCAGTACTGGCTTACTGTGCTGAGTGACATATTGATATAGAGAAGGAAGAAAAAAAAGGGCCCAGGATGTTTGAGTAGTTTAAGTGCTATTTATGACCACCTTCTCTCCTCTGTTACTAAAGTAGGATCTGTGTGTGTGCCTCGAGGATGTTGTGATTAAGCTTGTGAATAAGAATATTGTGGGTGACCATATCAAAAGCCTTACACAGATCATGAACTATATCAGTTATTATTGTATTATTATTGTAATAATCACAACTAAGTGCTAAATCCACAAGAGTCTAAACCATGTCAAGCATTTTTATGATCATAGCAGTTTTTTATGTGTGTCTGAATCCAAATTAATAAGGAGTAAGTACATTATGTTGGTTTTAAGTACAAGTACAGCTCTTTTAGATACCTTCAAAAATATTTTTGATAGTACTGGTAGACTTATCTATTGGTCTGTAATTGTTAAATGTCAGTTTGATCGCAGCCTTTGTGAATGGGTGTTACTGGCCCTTTTCAGACAGTCTGGAGAGATGTCCTTAAATGATTTGTTGAAAAATATTGAAATTGGTTAATTATTGTTTCTGCAATCATGGTGGAACATAACCTGTGGGATCTTACAGCACTTGGGGAATTGGGAATGGGGAGCAAATAGATTGGATCCCTAGGAGAAGATTGTTCCAGTTCTTTACATCAGGAGCACCTTACCAGCATCAAGGCACCTCCTTGAGCTTCTAATAAGACATTAACTACAGTATACATGGAAAATGGAACATTTAATACCAAGGAGAGCAACACAGTTCAATACACGAAAGAGCCCTTGAAAGTGACAGTACACAAATAACCCACACATACCAGACTGAAACTTATGATGACATTTCGATTTGACTTGGATCATTAACTAGTTAATGGTCCATGTTGGACCAAAATGTCATAAATTTCAGCCTCCTGATGTGTGGGTTATTTGTGTATTGTTCCAGTTATGAGAGTGTGCATTTTTTCTTTCGGCCGTCTTCCACCGAGGCAGGGTGACCCAAAAAGAAAGAAAATCCCCCAAGAAGAAAATACTTTCATCATCATTCAACACTTTCACCACACTCACACATAATCACTGTTTTTGCAGAGGTGCTCAGAACACAACAGTTTAGAAGCATATACATATAAAGATACACAACATATCCCTCCAAACTGCTAATATCCCAAACCCCTCCTTTAAAGTGCAGGCACTGTACTTCCCATTTCCAGTACTCAAGTCCGGCTATATAAAAATAACCGGTTTCCCTGAATCCCTTCACTAAATATTACCCTGTTCACATTCCAACAGATCGTCAGGTCCCAAAGTACCATTCGTCTCCATTCACTCCTATCGAACACGCTCATGCACGTCTGCTGGAAGTCCAAGCCCCTTGCCCACAAAACCTCCCTTACCCCTTCCAACCTTTTCGAGGACGACCCCTGCCCCGCCTTCCTTCCCATACAGATTTATACGCTCTCCATGTCATTCTACTTTGATCCATTCTCTCTAAATGACCAAACCACCTCAACAAGAAACAGTAATTCTATTTCAGAGGAAGTGGTTGGAAGCAAGTAGGAGTTTTGGTAGTTATCGGTCAGATAGCTACTGGAGGTAGTATGAGCCTCTAGGCTGTTGATTGCCATATTAGTTCTTACTGCATAGAGGAAAGTATTCAGCATATTCACAGAATCACCAGTACCGTTTACCAGATGAGTGTGAAACAGAAACTTGTAATTGTTTTACATACTGATAGGATTGTTGGTGTCTTGTTTGTGTCTCATAAACACAAAATAATAACAGGTATTTATACTTTGTTTACACAAACTTAAGACGATTCATTTGTATATTCCTTTGTTTATTTTTTGAGCCTGGAAATTTGGAAAGACGTTTCTAAGGTTTCTTTATCTCTGGCATAAGTTAAATAATATTCTCAAATAGTAATTTTATTGGATACCACTCATTATTATTGTGAAGGTGGGATGAAACTGCTTTAGTTATTGTGAAGGTGGCAGAAAGCTTTATTAAATGAAGGTGTGTGAACACGCTTTATTATAATGAAGTGGGAGAACCTGCTTTATATAATGAGGTGGGGACACAAGTTTATTATAATGAAGGTGGAGAACACTGCTTTATTATAATGAAGCTTGGGAAAACACTGCTTTATTATGTAAGGTGGAGAACACTGCTTTATATATGAAGGGGAGACACCCTGCTTTCATTATAATTTGAAGTGCATGAACATCTGCTTTATCTATAATAAGTGCCGAAACACGCTTCATTATAATGAAGGGGAGAAACATGTTTAATTATAATGAGTTAGAGGAACATGCTTTATTATAATGAAGTGGGAGAACACTGTTTATTATTATGAAGGTGGAGAACACTGGATGTATATAATGATAGGTGGAGAACATCTTTTCTTAATGATGGGGGAGAAATTCGCTTTATTAATGAAGGTGGACAGACACGCTTTATATGTGAAGTGGGAGAACACTGCTTTTTTAATGAAGTGGAACACTGCTTTATTACATGAAGGTGTGTGAGAACACTTGCTTTATTTATGAAGGTGGAGACACTGCTTTAATAATAAAGGTGGGAGAACATGCTTTATATATGAAGGTGGGAGAACACTTGCTTTATTTTATGAAGGTGGAAACCATGCTTTATTATATGAAGTGTGGGAAAGACTGCTTTTTAATGAAGGTGGACCTTGCTTTATTATAAGGAATGGTGGGAGAAACTGCTTTATTATAATAAGTGAGAACTGCTTTATATTGAAGGATGGAGAACACTGCTTTATTATAATGAAGGTGGGAGAACACTGCTTTATTATAATGAAGGTGGGAGAACACTGCTTTATTATAATGAAGGTGGGAGAACACTGCTTTATTATTATGAAGGTGGGAGAACACTGCTTTATTATTATGAAGGTGGGAAAACACTGCTTTATTATTGTCAAGGTGAGAGAGTACTGCTTTATTATTGTCAAGGTGAGAGAACACTGCTTTATTATTGTCAAGGTGAGAGAACACTGCTTTATTATTATGAAGGTGGGAAAACACTGCTTTATTATTGTCAAGGTGAGAGAACACTGCTTTATTATTGTCAAGGTGAGAGAACACTGCTTTATTATTATGAAGGTGGGAAAACACTGCTTTATTATTGTCAAGGTGAGAGAACACTGCTTTATTATTGTCAAGGTGAGAGAACACTGCTTTATTATTATGAAGGTGGAGACATCTTTTATTGCAGGTGAAGAACACTGCTTTATTATTGTCAAGGTGAGAGAACACTGCTTTATTATTGTCAAGGTGAGAGAACACTGCTTTATTATTGTCAAGGTGAGAGAACACTGCTTTATTATTGTCAAGGTTCTGTATCATCATCACTGTGTTTGCTGAGGGCTCTGTGATATAACTGAAGATACATATTTGGTTGTTTTTGCTAAGGACACTTTTTGTAGTGTTGCTGTGATACTGTGACTACATCTTTATATTTTGTGATGAAATACATATTGGGATATAAAAGTGCATGTGCGGTTTATACATATATACACTCACATATAAGTGGTCACGTTCATTCTCACTTGCATATATATACAGTACACATAAACACACATACATGCATAAATCAATACATGTATGGTAAGTCCTCACTTAACGTCATCAGTAGGTTGTTGGGTACTGTGACTTTAAGCAAAACGACATATAACGAAACCAATTTTACCATAGGCTGATTGATACAAACTTTCAGACAAAAACCAATACATATATGTCAGAGCTACCCTTAAGCTGTTTGCTAGGTGCAGTATATCCACAAGCATGTGGGCACCAGGGCATGATGTAGATAAAACAGTTTTTTTGAGTGAGGCATTATGGTATTTATATTGAGTGTCTATCACTTACAGGGCAATTTTATATCAAGTAACAAAAGCTGCAACAGATGATATGTAAATAAAATGTAGAAATGTAAACAAATACTGTTTATTTATTTTTGCTTCTACATAAGTGTGGAAGCAAAAACAATTGCAGAAGCACATCTGCGCCCTTTCAGCAGATTTAAAATAATATGGCTCACATTAAATCATGGTGTTTATGGGTCATAAACATTGATGTTAGTGTATAAAATTATACCAAGTGGCAATATAAAGGATACAAGTGGTGAGATGTGAACACAGGTCGGGTGAAGCCTAATAAAAACTTTTGTATCCTAATCAGAAAAATACCAGGTGCTCCCAGTGTCATATACAGTAATTGGATACAAGGAAACATCATGGGTAGCTCCCGGTACCATACAGGTTAACGTGAGATACGCCAGGTCACTGCCATTTTTATATTAATGGAGACAAAAATGGCAAGTCCCTGCCAGTGTCATACAAGTGGACACAGTAATCTTGTGTACCTGGAGAACAACGTTCTTTAATGATGTAATAGTATCATAAAGCAGATCACTTAATTAGTCGATACTTTCAGTGTTCATCATATAACATGTCAACACACTGTAAACAGCTTATTCAACAACTGTCATGGGAGTGTTGATGTGCTGTAATTTCACTATAAACACACTTTCATGGTTTGTGTATGTCCCCTCCAGGGAGGTTTCCTTGTCACTGGTGAGGGGCTCTTGATCTAGGGAATTGGATATGTGCTACAGTTCCCTGAATTGAGCCTGAATACCTTCCATGCCCCCACATGCGCTGTATAATCTTACGAGTTTAACGCTCCCCCATGATTATAATAATAATAATCTGGTTTATGTGTAGCCTTGCTTCAGGAAAAACTGCACATATAGAAACACAAAAAATGGTCGGCCAATGTGTATAGCGTAAACACAATAGTTCAGTGCCTATGAAAAAATGCTACAGAATATTTAAAAGTACAGTATTTGTACAGTATTACAGTACATAGAGCATAATAAATACTTATATACAATGTAAGATTTCATCAAGACTCGTCACTACCATGTTCTTCTTGTATTAATTTTTATAATTATTTATAGGATCTAGAATATTATGTTTGACATTTTCAGTCATATTTAGAAAGAAAAATAAATTCCCTCAAAACCAGAGAGGGCAGGTTAAGTTTTTTTTTTTATAAGCAACAGCTTAAATTATTTCATTGTTTTTAATTTAAATCTCAATTGCAATTATTAGTTATGCCTGTGCATCTGCTTGGTAAACAGTATTCACACAGGAAGGGACTTCCGTGCTCTTCTTTCATATAAGTGTGAAACAAAAGCTTGTTATTGTTTCACACACTGCTAGGATTACTAATCTTTTTATTTATCATGAACAATTCAGAGGATAGGTAAATACAGTATTAAAACCTTTAACTTATACACTATACACTTTATTTTCATTGTGTGCTTCTTAATTAATAATTCCTGTATTACAGTATTTCCTTTACAATTTAGGAGGGCCAGTATAAGACTGGGCTGTGGGGCCGGTCAGCCCCAGGACCAATAACAGACAACAGCATTATATTGGCTGTCATCCTCAATCTTTGTTCATTTTTTTTTCCAATGCACTGGCCATATCCCACCAAGGCAGGGTGACCCAAAAAAGAAGAAACACTTTAATCATCACACACTCCATCACTGTCTTGCCAGAGGCATGCTAATACTACAGTTCAAAAACTGCAACATATCTCCACTCCTCCTGTCATGTTACATGACAGTTTTGCTTTTCCTATGCATACCACTTTACATATTCTCTTTATCTTGAAATCTCATTGATATTAATGTTTTACATTTTATACTCCTCAAGTACTTACCAGTAATTTGCTGTTGAAAGAGTGTAAGGTAATTGTTACAAGGTAACTAATATAAAATATTTTAAGACAATGCTGTTACTCTACATGCAAAATACTGTATAATGTTGCAGGCGATTTTATATATACAATATACTGTTAGTAGGCAGTAGGCTTGCATATAAAAGATATCAAGAACCTTTATATTGATGTTTCACCTTTAATACTGTATAGATGTTATGTTGATGATTCCCTAATATCAGGATTATTGATACTGAGAATTTCAATTAAGATTAGGTGTACTTTATGTAATGGTTTATTAATAAGATAACTAGTCCTTATGTGAATGACTCATTAATAAAGTCAAGCATCATATACTACAGAGTCATCGGTATGATAGATTTTATGTACTGTATTGAGGTTATGCTACCACAGCACTTGGATAGCTGATTGACCCTCGTCAGCCACACTGGACCTGATTCCTCGAAAACTTGTATTGATAAGCTGTGTGAAAAACGTATGATTTATACCATTTCATGTTGAACACCTCTCCCTGCTCTGGGAAGAATGTGAAAATCTTGATGCAGACCAGTACTTTGGGGCTGAGTAACAAGGCTACATCAGTGG